GGGGGAGGGGCCCCAGAATTTGGGGAGGGGCTTCGAAATTGGGGGAGGGGCCTCAGCCTTTTTTGGGGACTTTTTTGGGGTTTTTTTTCAGGGTTTTTTTCATTTTTTTTCCCTTTTTTCCCCAATTTTTTCTGGGTGAACTCAAACAAAAACCCCCAAAATTTTGGGACCCTCTTAAACCCCAAAATTGTGCCATTTTCAGTCGTCGGGGGACCTGGAGAACGACGAGCACACGGCCACCGTTCTGCAGGGCTTGGTGGCCACAGCGCTGGGGCTGCGGCTGCCACGGGGCCACCACGAGCCGCCCTTCAGACGCCTCTCGGGTGAGACCCAAATATCCCAAATTGTACCCAAAATATCCCAAAAATATTGCCAAAATATCTCAAAAAATTTCACCAAAATATCTGAACAAATGACCCCAAAATATCCCCAAAATGCCACCACGAACCGCCCTTCCGACGCCTCTCGGGTGAGACCCCAAAATATCCCAAAAATAGCCCAAAATATCCCAGAATATCCCAAAAATATCCCAAAAATGTCACCAAAATATCTGAAAAAAATAACCCCAAAATGCCACTTCGAACCGCCCTTCCGACGCCTCTCGGGTGAGACCCCAAAATGGCCCAAAATATCCCAAAAATATCCCAAAAATATCCCAAAATGTACCCAAAATATCCACAAAAATATCATCAAAATGTCACTAAAATATCGCCAAAATATGCCAAAAAATGACCCCAAAAAATGACCCCAAAATGCCAGCACGAACCGCCCTTCCGACGCCTCTCGGGTGAGACCCAAAATGGCCCCAAAATATCCCAAAAATATCCTAAAATGTACCCAAAATATCGGCAAAATACCCCAAAAAATGTCATCAAAATATCCCGAAAAATAGCCCTAAAATATCCCAAAAATATCACCAAAATATCCCCAAAATGCCACCACGAACCGCCCTTCCGACGCCTCTCGGGTGAGACCAAAATATCACCAAAATATCCCAAAATATCCCAAAAATAGCCCAAAAATGTCACAAAAATACCATCAAAATATCCCAAAAAATGACCCCAAAATGCCATCACGAACCGCCCTTCACACGCCTCTCGGGTGAGACCCCAAAATATCCCAAAAATATCACCAAAATGTCCCCAAAATGCCACCACGAACCGCCCTTCCGACGCCTCTCGGGTGAGACCAAAATATCCCAAAATGTACCCAAAAATATCCCAAAATTATCCCAAAATATCACCAAAAATATCCCCAAAATATCATCAAAATGTGACCAAAATGTGACCAAAATATCCCAAAAAATGCCACCACGAACCGCCCTTCAGACGCCTCTCGGGTGAGACAGAGACCCCAAAATATCCCAAAATGTGACCAAAATATCACCAAAATATCTCAGAAAATGTCCTCAAAATGTCACCAAAATATCTCAAAAAACGTCACAAAAATATCACCAAAATATCTCAAAAAATGTCCCCAAAATGCCACCACGAACCGCCCTTCCGACGCCTCTCGGGTGAGACCAAAATATCCCAAAATATCCCAAAATATCCCAAAAAATATCCCAAAAATATCCCAAAAATGTCATCAAAATGTGACCAAAATATCCCAAAATATGACCCCCAAAAAATGACCCGAAAATGTCACCACAAACCACCCTTCCGACGCCTCTCAGGTGAGACCAAAATATCCCAAAAATATCCCAAAAATATCCCAAAAATAGCCCAAAATGTACCCAAAATATTGCCAAAATATCCCAAAAAACGTCACAAAAATATCATCAAAATGTGACCAAAATATCGCCAAAATATCCCAAAAAATGTCCCCAAAATGCCACCACGAACCGCCCTTCCGACGCCTCTCGGGTGAGATGGAGACCCCAAAATATCCCAAAAATATCCCAAAAATATCCCAAAAATATCACCAAAATATCTCAAAAAATGCCACCACGAACCGCCCTTCAGACGCCTCTCGGGTGAGATGGGGACCCTGAAATGTCCCCAGACGTCACCAAAATGTGGCTCTGGGGACACTGATGGTGGCCTTGGGGTGGCCCTGTCCCCAGTGTCCCCACTGTCCCCAATGTCCCCAATGTCCCCAATGTCCCCATTGTCCCCAGTGGTGTTTGGCGAGCACTCTCTCCTGGTCACCGTCCCTGGGGTCACCCTGGTGACATTGGGGACACTGATGGTGGCCCTGGGGTGGCTCTGGTGACATTGGTGACACCGATGGTGGCACTGTCCCTTGTCCCCAGTGGTGTTTGGCGA